CACCATAGATGAACACTGTTTATTGAACACTATAGATGTTTCCCTGCCCCACACCACATGCAGACCATCATGGGACAAGGTCCTTCCCCACTGGAAGGCTGGCTTATAGTGCATCCAATCCAGTATACCCCATCTAAGCACACCTCTCTGTGGGGTAAAAGTTCTAAGAGTCACACACACAATCAGCTTTTTCTCTGCTTCTAAATTTCCCCCTAATTGTATATTTATACTGTGTGGCACTAGAAGTGTGTGTATACATGTCTCATTTGCACAACTATATACCTCCTCTGTACCAGAGGCTAGAACTGATTTCAAATTATCAGTTAAGATCTTTAATTCTTATGAAGTACTTTGTCTTCACGCTTTATAAAACTCTAAGATAAAACTGCTAGTTTTTCGCAAACTTTCTAATACTTCACTTCAGCCACCAGCCCTCTCATTTCTGACCAACAAGATGGCTCTTTGCTACTTTTTTAAACTGTGTGAGAGAAAAGTGACAAGACAATTCAGGATTTGATTAGATGACCTGCTTTCAATGCAATGAGATCTGAAGCAAGGAGTGGGGTGGGGAGAAGGACAAAATGTAGTCAAGAAGCTCTATGCACTCAGAGTATGACGGCCTGAACAGCAGAAAATAGGGAAGAGCATGTCTAAGGAAGTAGAAAGGAAACAAGGAAAAAGAGGAGTGAAGAGTCCAAAATCAAATTCCACCTACCTCCCAACATTTCTTTACATTGGTTCTGCCCTCTTTTCTTTTTAAAGGTCAAACAGAAAGACTATCATTTCCCACAATAGCTTTTATTCACCTTACCAGTATTCTATCCTCACTGCAATATGGTGTGCTTCAAGAAGAAGCTGAGGAAGTGGAGAGGGGCAGGTCAACTTCTGGAGACACAGCACATACGATTATCAGTTGGGACACGTATTTCCCATCTCCCCTGATCTAGGACCCAATCCCTCTTGGGAAGTTATATCTCCCTGCCTTTCATGGTTCATCTGCCCCAGAAACCCTGTTCCACAGTAAAATGTACAGAAACCTGGCGGACACTGGATTTCCAGGGTGAGGGGAATGGTCATGCTGTACATGCAGACCTAGAGAGCTGCTAAGGGAGACACGGGAAGGGCCACTTACACAGAAACCTTCCCTCCCCACTGGAAAACTGTAGTGAGCCACAGACAGAAGCAACACAACAGAAGCATCACATCAGATCATCAGGAAACCCTGGAAGTAGTGGTATTAATTCAATATTTTTATATCATTAATGCATGGTTTGCATCCTTGGCAATGCCTAGTGATCATCGGTGCTTACTCTGACACTACCCAAAAAATTAACACATTCCTCTATATAAAAAGAGGCTGTTACAATTACATAGGCAAATAGTAAATATCTGTATCTCAAAACTTATTCCATATAAGCTTATCAAAGTGAATTTGGCAATTTCTAAAGCATCACAGTGACAAATAAAATACAAATTTTTTAAAAGTCATTTTCCTTGAAAACTTAAAAAAGTAAAGGTTTAGGTTTATTAGACCAATCTTTAAATGGGTAGGTTAAAAGGGCATTATATACTGGCTTGATTACTATTTAAGAATTCTAGATAATTTTATTTTCCCAAATATGCATAAAAGATTCTGCCTCACTATTTCAGTGTTAGGAGAGGTAGCCCTTCAAATAAATGGAAATATATTTTCCTATAGCTTTAAACCCTTCCTTATACATTTAAACAAGTATCGTTTAGAAACTTAAGTCCATGAAAATTTCTTTCTAATGAATTATTTAACTTACTCAAAGTCAAAAATGGAAATACTAATTTACTAAATGATCAACACTGATTTTTTCAAACAAAATACTTTTAATTCTCCAAAACTGATGGGTAAGGTGGGAAGAATGTTCACTTTTCTAAAGGAAAATCTCACAGTACACACATTCTCCCATCTAATTCATCAGTGGAACTCCCACCCACCAGCACCAAAAGCTGTGATTCCAGCAAGCAAGAGCCATACCCCGTGTGCATGCACTCATGTGAAAATATCACACATACTAAATTGCACTGAGGCGTTGACAACATGCAACTTAGTAATGTGCAATATCTCCACCAGAGCAAGCAGAATGGGAGCATCAGGGAGGAGGAATGTGATGCATACATTCAGGAGACAACATGCTGCTAAGGGGAGGAAAATGGTTTGGGGATAAAGGATGCATGCCACTAACTCAAAAATTCATAAACTGGAAACCCAATCACAAATGTACTCAATTTAGAAGAACACTTATTCACAATTGAGAATAATAATTTTCAAAAATTCAATGAGACAGTGATTTTACAGTAGCCACATACTTCTGAAGGCAAAGCTTGAAAAACAATTTCCAAATCTGGTCATGTAGTTAACTCCTAACTTAAATTACACTTTTAACTTATTAATGAATCATATAAAATGAGTACAATGATTTTCCACTTAATTACAACGATTAATGATTGATACTTATAAAATCTGATATCACTGATAATTTGCAGATTAAACTGAGGATATTACAATATTTTGATAATCACTTGTACATTTTTCCTCTTAAAAATCTTTCTTCATGAAGAAACATATTCCTTCTTGATTACAATCCTTCAGAATGAAAAATCTGACAAAAGCTCTTAGAAACAGAAGTGACTGCTATCATTCATACACAGACACACCCAAATACACAAATATATTTACACACACACATATATAGACACATACATACATACATGCGTATATGTATACATATGCACATGAAGGCTCTTCAGAAGAATCTGTGTAAAACCTGTATATTTTAAGTCTTGAATTTGATCCAGTAAAGAAATAGACAAAAAAGATGCAGACTGCTAAAAATCATGTTGAATTATAATGTTTATATAATCGGATATGGCTACAGTTAGAAAAATTTCCCAGGCTACAGCAAATTCTCTAGTCTGTACCATATTTACCAGACTCACAAAAATACATCTGTTTTGAGAACTATTAGGATTATAGTTCTGGTACTAAGAGTTGCTAATTTTTTTTTAGATGTAAATTTCCAGTCGAACGCCTCATATGTCCATTTGAATGGTCTTAACACCACCACAAATTTAACTCATGATCTTCTCCCCTAAGCAGCTCCTCCTGGATCGTGGTGTAACAGAAGGACTTATATTTTGAATCAGCTGGACCTAGGTGTGAATCATAGCTCTACCGGCAACCACGACACTAAAACAAAGGTGGTATGGAAAAAAGACGACAGGTATTTAAATAGAGGATGCTCAACAAGTGGTTCACTCACTCTAAGAAAGCAGAATACAAGAAAATTTGGAGAAGAGTGATTTTTAAAATAAACAAGTATTTTTGAGAATCAAAGTCAGTGCTAACATAGGTTACTTTATAAGAATGAAGCATCTTTCTTGAAGTTTTTTATGGACAAGAAGATATTTTTCTATAGGGTTTCACTTAGTCACACTGACAAGAGGATTCCTGCCAGCCTCTAATAGGGCTGGTTCAACAGCTTTATCCTATTGAAAAGGTAGGTGTTTATTTTTCATTTTTTGGTATAATTTGCATAAACTTTTTTGAGTCAGAATCATGTCATTTAAATAAACAAAAGTTAATTTAGTGCTGAAATTTCCATCATTTCACTTAGTAAGGACGGCAACCTAGTCATATAGGCTTAGAAGGGATACTAAAGCCAGTGAGACCACTTCCCTAAGACAGCTTCATTCTGAAAGCTGTTGCATTAGATGATACATCCCGTAAACCTGAAATCTTTATATGGATAGCCCCCACGTAAATACCCCAGGGCACACAGGGACTAAGAACAAGAACAATTATTTTCTGATCTGACTTGGTGTCCAACCAACGAAGCAAGATACTGGTGAAGACTTTACCCAGGCATTGCTAGCAGGAAAAAGGAAGGAAACCTAAACAAAAGTTTCCAGAGACAACACATTTCAGGAGCATGCATCCTACTTGAATGTAACTGAGGCTTTTCCAGAGATCAGAGGGGTAGCCTTACCAGTTATTTACATGAATACAGTGAAAAAAGATCAGCTGTTACAGGATTACCAGTTCAAATCAAGATTTCTGTGGAAGACTAGTTCCAAACAGTGCTATTTTTTAAGTGTATGTTGGAACATCAATGCTAGCCAAAGATTTACTCTTCAAGAGAAGCTTAAGACCACCTAGCTAATAACCATTAGGAAAGAAGTTCTAATAGATTACTTGAAGATTTAGTTTGAGGAGCCACTCAAAAGAAGTAAAAATGTCACACAGTCTTGTTACTGAGTTAACAGCAATGAGGATAGAGGTTGGGGGAGGAGCTCAGAACGGCCTAGGCTGCAAAAGTAAAGGGGAAATAGAAAAGGAAGCTGGGAGCCAGTGAGCTGGAAAAAACTTATCAATAGTAAAAGCTGAAGAATAATCTCATCCAGAAACCAAGTCTGTAATACATGGATCCCAGAAAGCATGATAAAAGTTCCTGCGATGCATACAGAGCCTATGACTTAGGAAAACCAAAGACTTTGCATTCCTAGCGTCCAACCCAACCGCTGCACAGGGCGCAGCCAGGCCGCTGAGGGAGAAAGAGGAAACAGGAAGGCTGCCTGCTCTCTTCCCTGGGCAAAGCTGGAATTCCTGAGAACAGAAGGAATCTGAGAGAAGGTGAGGTCTGCCTGTGGTGGCAGGGGGGGGTCCTCCTAAACAAGTGACATGATAACAGAAGCTGAAGCAAAAACCTGTTGGGGAGCAAAAAGCTGATGGGGCAGGACATAAAATCTTTGTGAATCACAGGCTTCAGAGCAAGATATTAAAACTGCTTTGAAATTTATTAACATTTGCACTGCTCATATTATCTTCTCAAAAGGAGATAAAAATTGTGAAAATATCAGTGACCTTTACTAGTTTAGCACTGAATGTTACTTGGAAGCTCAAGACAGAAAACAAGCTTCTCATGTAAAGCACTTTCTGAAGGAAATAAAAATAGCATAAATCTTATTCTTACCTGATAGCTTCTTCCACAGACTGGCCAATAATATTAGAAGAAGGACCTGGCTGAGATAATGGTGTCAGGCTTATCACCCACTTCACAGGCTTGTAGTACTCATCACTGGAACTTAATAGATAAAATAGTGTGGTCAGGAAAATTATCTGCAAAACAAAGGACAGTATCTTCTTAAAAAATCACATTTAGGAACTACAGGAAGATAAACACCCACAAAAGCAAATGGAACCATGAACATACTTTAATGCTGGCGGAAATGTGAAGTGTACTTATCTATATGTACATACCAGAGACAGTACAAAATTGAGAAGGGCAGTCCCGCTGTAGAAGAGAATGGTCAGGAGCGTAGTGACAGTGCTAAAAAGCAGGCTTACGTTCCGGCTCATAACAATCCACAGAGACTCTAAAATCTAAAGAGGAGGGAAAGGTAGATATCAGAACCAAACCTGATGGAAAAGTTTCTACGCTGTTCTAGTGTGCTTTTAATCTAATGTCGTAGTACCAAAAACTGAAAGGCAAGAACTGAACATAATTTAAAATGAAAAAGGAAAACACAGAACATCGAAATGTTCGATACTAAGCAAAAATGGTTAAGTTATGGTAAATCCACTCAAAATAACACCCCCCCCCAAAAAAAACCTAAAACTTGTGGCTGTCGAGTTGAATCTGACTCATAGTGATGCTACAGAACAGAGTAGAGCTGCCCCACAGGGCTTCCAAGGCTATAAATCTTTATAGAAGCAGACTGCCACATCTTTCTCCCATGGAGTAGCTGGTGTGTTCAAACCACCAACCCTTCTGTTAGCAGCTGAGCGCTAAACCACTGTGCCACCAGGGCTCCTAATATCAGGCAGCCATTAAAAAGATTTCTATTATAACAAAGAAAAATACTTATAACGCCATGTTTAAAAAGCAGCATACAAAAGTTTTATATATAGTATGATTATAACTATGTAAAAAATGGTATGTATAGAAAAAATACTCATAGGAAAATAAACCAGCAACCTATGGTTATATTAAGCTCAGAGGATCATGAGTACTTTTTCCTTTAGAATTCAACATTAAGGCCATGAAATTCTAGCATTTGTCTTATTAGATGTCCCCACCTTTAGATTCGTTGCCCTGCCCCCAACTTAGATTCATCTATAAATGCAGAAAGCATCACTTTCATCATACCCAAAGTAATTTGGTCTTGGTTCCTTAGAGACAACACTATAAAGATCACAATAAATGTTAACGAACACAGAGGGACAAGGGCAGAATTCTGCAGCTAAAAATCTTTCCTGAAGTAGACAATGACCTCCCTCAGACCTACCAAGTTCAGTTGTTCCATCACCTACAAATTCTCTAGGACTAGATACTAGGAATGAAGGAAGTTATTAATGTATATTAAAATACTACTAAAGGAATTTGTACAATACCTACACCTGCATGTTTTCATTACCTATCTCTTCATGAACTTAAATTCTCTTACGATAATATTTGTTCTATTTTTCCCAAATTGACTGTCCTTCTTAAAGAAAAACATGAAAACAAAATGATCAGAAAATCACCTTTCATTACAATTTTCAAAATGCTTCCATAACCTCATAGCAGTGCTGCAAGGGAAATAATGTGGGTAAGATCATCTCTAGTTTACAGATATGCAAACTGAGGCTCAGAGATTTTTAAAAACTGCCCCAAGGCACAGAACTAGTAAGTGGAACCAGAGCTGGGACCAGAACTCATAATGTGTGATTTTTATTTTGCTGCCCTTTCCAAAACAGCAGTTCTGTTCTTTGTCGTATGTTCAAGTTATACCATCTGTTCTGTTAAAGAAAGGCCTATCCATTACTTTCCTACCTCAAATTTATCAGTTATAAAAGCATATTTTGTTGCTCTCAGCATTTCTTGCAAACCTCAGCTCAGTCTTCATAAGAGAATTTTGGCAGGCTGGTTCCATTTACAAAAACCCCTTATATAAAATCTTGAAAATGCTTCATTAATGCCTACAAAAATATGCATGACTGACTGTTTGACCTTGTGGAATAAAGACTGAATGAATAATGCCACTGATTCCAACAAACAAACCAACAATGTCTTCACTTGTGATTTTGACAAGCATTCTTTTCGGGGTTTCAGTCGTTGTGGAATTTTTATCCAAAAACATTTTAAATAGTTTCTCGGTCATACTGACAGAAAAAAGCCCCCGCGGTAACTCTTACAAAATTAACTGAATATAGTAATTATAGACTGATAGCCTCCAACAACAATCAAGTAATCTTTTTTGTATACCCAAGGAGTTCAGTTGGAGAAGACAGAGGAAAGGACTAGAATGTTAACTGTTTATATGCCAGGCTCAAAGGAGAAAGTTAGTGAAACCACAAGCAATAACCCCACCCTCAGTTGCTGCAGAGTCAGTTCTGACTCATGGCAACCTCACGTGTGTTAGAGTAGAGCTGTGCTCCATAGGGTTTTCAATAGCTTATTTTTCAGAATTAAATCGCCAGGCTTTTCTTCCGAGGTATCTCTGAGTGGACTCGAACCTCCAACCTCTTGGTTAGCAGCCAAGTGCGTCGATCATTTGTACTTCCCAGGGACTCCCCACAAGCGATAACAAGGCACTTGAAACTCTGAAAACTAGAAAGATCTATACAGACAAAACGTATCCCAAGTCAAAAGCAGAAAACACTAGCTAAGTTTGACTTTAGTCTAGCCAAGGGTAGCAACATAAGTACTGAATGAATATCAAGAAGGTCACGCAAGTGGGTGGAATTCTAGGGCTTTTCTATAGGTTCTGCTTGTGACCTTCTAACTGGCTTTTTAGTGCTTCACTCTTAAAAATGAACAGACTGCCAAGGGTCACCAGACATTTGAGGATAGCCTCTAACATGAAAAAGAAAGTAAAATAAACTTTAAAGAAACTCAGCAAACAGAGAGAAGACTTTTTAAAAATTTTGTTATCAATAATCCTCAGAAATAAAAAAGGAAGGTTCGGAAAATAAGAAAGAGCTGCTGGATGTTAGAAATATGATGGCAGAAATAAAAAAAAAATCAATCAAAGTTGAAAAGTAAAGGTAAAGCTATTTCCTGGGGGTTGGAGGAGAAAGAGAAAGAGTAATGGAAAGTAGAAAAGATTTTTTTTAAATTAAGAAATCCATGTCAGAGGCCCAACATGTGACTAATAGGTATTCCACAAGTTAGAACAGAAAAGTGGTTCTCAAAGTGTAGCCTCTGGACAACTACAGTCTCCAAGATCCTTTGGGGGTCTGTGAGGTCAAAACTATTTTCATAATACCCAAATATTTGCCTTTTTCACTGTGTTGACATTTGCACTGATAGTACAAAAACAACAGTAGGTAAAATGGCTGTCATCTTAGCCCAAATCAAGGCAGTGGCACCAAACTGCACTAGTATTCACTGTATTCTTCACCACCACCACATACTTAGTGCCAGTTTCACTTAGGAATGCCCTTTAGGAAGCAATAAAAATTATTAATTCTATTAAATATCAATTCTTGAGTATCTGTCTTTTTGATATTCTGTGTGTTAAATGATAAGTAAGCATAAAACACATCTGCTAGTTACTAAAGTATGATGGTTGTATGGAGGAAAAGCATTTGTGTTAATGAGGTAAGAGCTAAACTAGTCATTTTTTTCATAGAATACCACTTCTACATAAAACAAGACTGGCATACTTGGTATTTGGCAGGAGTTTTTTCAAAAATGAATAAAATGAGCCTGTCACTTCAAGGGAAATGACTGATAGTATTTGCTGTCAATGATAACATTTGCGCTTTCAAGAAAAAAATTAGAATTTTCAAAAATCTGTATTGGTCATTGTGACCTTGATAGCTTTCTAATACTTAAATTCTTTTTCTGAGGAGATAGGTGCTGATTTTTTTTAATACTGTATAACAAAATGTGTCAATATTTAGAAGAGATACAAAAATGAGTAAACCAATATTCCCCATGACCAGTGCATATTACAAAGGCATGCAAGGGTGAAAGATTCATTCTTAGTGAAGACAGACCAATGGACTTAAAGCATTCTGGTCAGCTTAAGGGGACGAGGATACCTATGTGAGAGCCCACAGTGTCGCTCATATGCTTGGTGATTCAACATCTCTGGGATACTCTTAAACTACAGAGGGGCCACTAGGGTAAATACACTTGACACCTATGGCTTTTAGACATCTTTCTAGTGCATTTGGAGTTCTCGAAACTTTAAATGTTGCGGCATTAAAAACAGGGACTTGATGGCAATGGGTTTTCAGGTTAAAGAGCTCTAAATAAGTAACACTGAGAATTAGCATTCTGTTTTTATTTCTAAGTCCAGTTTAACCATAAATAGTACTACTTACCGAAAGAAATGTCTCAATGTTCTCATGAACAAAGGAAGCGATATCCTGCCAGTCCAGAATGTCTCCCAGCCAGCTATTCTGACGACTTACATGCATCTTCTGTCCTTTGTGCCTTCCAGAATGTGTTACATTCTATGGAATAAACAGTTCAAACATAAAATTTCCATCTTAACCTAAAGAATAAAGAGTGTAAATGTCCTATTTTGTTTTAGGTCCACTGAGCACTTCATTGAATACTTGAAGGTGAGAAATTTTACATTATTTAAAGAAATCAAGAACACTACCTAAATACTTGAAATATAGTATTTTTCTGATTACATTCCAGGTACCATGTCTAAGTACAGCTCAAATGCTTCCCTCCTAAATACATTTGTGAACACACTTTATCTCTCAATATATACAACAGTACACTAACACAGCATTTACTTTCATTCTTTGTTTATTTGCCCCTCCACCTTTTTATTGGTCTCCCATTTTTTCTTTTTTCCTCCTTCCCTTACCTCCTTTAATCATCTTCCACACAAGATAAAGACAACAGCGTTAGAGAAAAATATAAAAAAAGAATCAAGAATAAGGAGAAAAATCTAACTCTTTTGTCTGGAAGAGAATTATATTGGCAGATTGCAGGGATAGCTAAATTTAATTGAGATATGGACTAAATGAAGTGACTGCTGGCATTAAAGTGTAGAAATAGAGGTAAATTCTTAACATTTTTCATGTGTTTCCATTCTCCCACTTTTGCTAATGGAATAGTGATATTAATCTCCATTATGCAATGCAGAAAGACATTAGGTTCCAGAGAAAGAGGTAAAGAAAGCAATATACTTAACCACTTACAAGCCTATGCTTTCAAGGAACTGGCCTCCCTCTACCATAAAATGAAGCTAAAATGGGGTGAGGACAGTAAAAGCTATTTGTTTATAAGCAGAAGCCTAGAATTAATAGAGGAAGTAAATAACCTCTCTGATTTTCTGATTCTTCAGCAAATGGGAACAAATATATTCTACTTAGAGGCCCAATCAGCTTTAACTTTCAGTTTCTGAAATCTACAAAAACGAACACTGTTCCCTCAACTGATACCAGGGCAAGGGTGCACAGGCCCACACAGGTCACTAACCAACAAATTCAAATTCTAAATCCAGTTCTCCTTCCCTTCTTCCCAAGTTAAGGGATTTATATATGGTCCCCCTTTCCTTACATCAATCCTGGAAAAAATCACCACCAACTCTTCCCCACTCTCTACCTGTATCCCCAAAGGCCTTGCCAAACCCAGTGTACAGCATGGCTAGGCATAACCTTTCAAAACCATCATTTTTATACTTGGCAAAAAATGACATTATTTTCCATCATAAACTATGAAGTAAGAGTTCATAAGCACAAGCAGCATACAAGTATGGTTTAAAATAAAGATGTCTCAACTTTTAGATCTATTTTCATTTCCTCAAAAAGAAAAACTCTTAACATCTAGAGCTGGGCTGTCCAAAGCAGTAGCCACTAGCCACGTGTGGCTATTGAGCACTTGAAAGATGGCCAGTCCAAAAACTGAGATATTGTTAGTATAAAATAGACACCAAATTTTCAATCAGTATGGAAGAAAATACATACAAGCACGTTAACTCATTAAATTTTTTTCTACTGATTACATAATGAAATGATTATATTTTGGACATACAGGGCTAAGCAAATTATTAAAAATTAGAAAAATTAAAATTACTTATGTGGCTTGCATTCATCTCTCCTGCACAGTGCTAGTTCAGAGGAGGAGATGCTAGAGATAATATACAGAGAACAGAATACCCACACACCAGAGGGACTGATGGGTTCTGCCATGGAGACTACCAGCAACTCAAGCTGACTTTCAGCGACCTGAGGTTCAAGATCTTGCTGTTTAAAAAATTTCAATAAGTGCAATTCCAATATTAATACAATCCTGTATAGTTAATGAGTCTATAAAAGGACTCTATTAGTTTAAAACTAAAATCCTTAGCTAAAATAACTTACCTTTACAAACCAAGAGTGATACAGTCTGTCCCAGAGTTCTAGTACTTGCTTTTCAATTACAGCAGTATTGTTCACCTTATCTCCTAAAATTTTATGAAGCTGGAAGAAATACAGATATAATCTGGTTCAATATTTTAGGCAGCAATCCAGTAAAATGAATACATGCTGGGATCTTTACATTCATCCTAAATCAAACTAAAATGTTCCAGACTATTTAATTGTTTCTAGCCAAGTTATTATTCTTTTTTCTTAATCTCTACTCCTCAACATTCCCAGTAAATTTCCTCTCCTTAGTCTTCAAGTTGCTGCTGTTTTCTTTTCTCTATTCTCAGGCCTCTATGAGAATTACTTCAGGTTTATCAGAGAATGTCGTAAATGAAGCCATCATCATTGACCTACCTGATCTTATCTGCCCAGAGATATCTGTTCTACGTGACCCCAGCACTCATCCATTATACAGAAGTCTCACGTTACATTTATCACTACTCTTTTAAGAATTACCATAGAGCTTTAAATAAAATTTTATCACAAATTGTATTTGTGTTATAAACACAAATATTTCCCTTAGTGTGACTGCTGAGAGCTGTGAGGTCTTAGTTACGACTGATCAAAATGACTTCTGGGTTGTGGGAATCAAGTACACTGATACCAAAAATTAGAGGAAGGCTAATTTTTATGTCTTATCTCCCTTATCTATTAGTAAAACTATAATATTAAAGACAATTTTAAAAAGATAATGATTTATAGTCTCACTTTCTTAATACAATTGTCTCCATTTCCTATTTCTTCTGTAACTTTCTGCCTGTTTACATCAATATACTTCAGAATTCTATGCTTCCTTTTGTACCACATGCATTTCCAAGTACTAGCCTACATCTTTATTTTCTAATGGTTTCATAATAGATCATTAAGTTTCGATACTAGTATTTAATCATTACCCAGTCATAGGACATATAGATTGTTCTTAATTTTTAATGTTATAAATAACATTGCAATGACCATTCTTATACCAGCTTTTGTTTGTTTGTTTTAGGTAAAAGTTTACAGCAAAAATCAGTTTTTTATTCAAAAAATTTATACACAAATTGTTTTGTTACATTTGGCTGCAATCCCTACAATGTGTCAGCACTCTCCCCCAACCCTCCCCACCCTGGGTTCTCCGTGTCCATTCATCCAGTTTTCCTGTCCCTTCCTGCCTTCTCATCGTTGCTTGTGGGCAGGTGTTGCCCATTTGGTCTTGTATACTTGATTGAACTAAGAAGCATGTTCCTCACATGTGTTACTGTTTGTTTTATAAGCCTGTCTAATCTCTGGCTGAAAGGTGGACTTTGGAAGTGGTATACCCAGCTTTTTCTTATTGTTAATAAGATAACATGTACAGCAATCAAACAAAATGCTAAATTGCCTTCTATAAGAATTGTGCCAATTAATACTTCCTAACAAGGTATAAATGAACCAAATTTCCCAAAGCCTTATAGACTAATAAAATGTTAGATAATTTAAATAGATGTGAAATGGTAACCAATTGTTTATTCTTTTCTTCGACAGCGACAAGAGTGAACATTTTTCCATGTTAGTTTACAATGTGTATTTCCTTTTAGGTGGCCTATCCATACCTTCTGCCCACTTGATGTTGGCCTTATGTATATTTGAACCAATTCTTTGACATATCTGCTGCAAATACATCTGCCCGATGTTTTCCTTTATATTTAACTGATTTATTCATAAACCAAACATAAATTAGTGGATACAGTAAAAAGCCATTTATCTTTGCACAACATTTTACAACTTACAAATGGTTTCCACCTGTATCATGTGATCTTTATACCACCACCCAGTTAGAAAAGGATTTTGTCATCACCTTTGATCTTAAGATGAGAAAACAGACTTAGAAACGATGTATAACAGGCCCAAGGTAATACAGCTAAGGGGAAGAGCTAGGATTAAAAAATCCCTATTCTAATGTTCTTTCAACTATAACATATATAACCTATGAACAAAGACAATCTAATAGCAAATTACCCCAAATTATTAAAAACTACAGTTAATGCTAGTCTAATTTCCTTTAGTTACTTTAAATCTGTCAACTACTGACTTCCTGTTACCAGCTCTTCCTGTCATTCTCTTATCAGCTTCTGAGCGTCCCCTTTAACCAGAAGAGCCCTAATATTGTTACAGTCAGCATCCAGTCTAGGTTGTCCACACAGTGACTTTATTGCAATAATCCATTATTTCAAACTGGCATCTCCTTTGGCAGTTTCCCAGCTCAACAGTGAATAACTCTAAAATACCACAATTATTAAAGTAAAGGAAGGCCTGGCATAATTTTACAGCATGTTATAAAATACTCTTCCCAAAACTGTGCTGCTAACATGCAAAGCAGAGCATTACAGACCCAGAACATACCATACAATTTACCCATCTGAGTGTACAATTAAATGGTTTTTAGCATATTCCCAGAATTATGCAACCATCACCACAATCAATGTTAGAACATTTTCATCACTCCAAAAAGAAACCTCATACCTATTAGCAGTCACCCCTCATTTCCCCTCAATCCTCCGAGCCCTGGCAATCATTAATCTACTTTCTACCTCTAAAGATTTGCCTACTCTGGGCATTTCATATAAGAAATCATATAGTGTGTAGTCTTTATGACTGCTTCTTTCACTTAGCATAACGTTTTCAAGGTTCATCCATTTTGTAGCATTTATCAGTATTTCATTCCTTTTCATGGTTAAATACTTCACTGTATGGATATATCACATTTCCCTCCCATTTATTAGTTGATGGACATTCAGTGGTTCTTTTTAGATACCATCCCTTTGTCTTCTAAATCAGGATCACATATATTTTACAATTTTTATTGTTAGCAATGCCCATCCCTCTTCAGCTGTCTTTCCTTTTAGAATCTGACGCAAAAGATTCCTTACTTATCTTTACTCAGAAATTTAAAATCTACTTCCTTAAAACCTAAGGCACATTTCTCCAGCTATCCAGAATTCTCTTTCTTAGTCCTTTTCTCAAAAAGGTAAAAATAATACCAGAATAAAAATCTCCCCCAGATAGATAATCAAGAATTAAACGCTATGCTTTCAGCAGAATAAGTCAGTCAACATATTCCTGAAAGGCTTGAACTTCCTTCCATGACAGTTCTGAGGTCTACATCAACTTGCTTATCTTTTATACAACAAATTCATAATGCAAGCCACAAGAAAGACTGGGCCAGAGAGCATGAGTTTAATGAACTTAATCATTGCTATTAGAAGACTCATTAAAGTACAAATAATGAATCAGATCTGTCTTGAAAAAGAAGTAAATGACCAACCTCTCAGATTCATCAGGCTCCTAGCACAATTCAATGTGATTATCCAGAAGGTATAATTTCACCGGAGTATGTTTTGACCTGTAGACTTAAGCCTATTATAAATATGAAAACTGTTATATACAAAATGTCCATTTATGCTTTATCAAAGCAAGAAGTCACTACCAATGAAGGCCCTCCAAGAGAAAGCCATAAAGAGAGGCTCTTCCCTTACCTTGTGCGTTATCCATTCTCGTCCATACTGATACACATTGTTAGCCGCAGAATTGAGGGCTCTTTGCACTACCTGAGCCTCAGGAAGCCAACTGATTTAAAATAAATAAAAACGGGAAAAAAGCATTTTTAATTTACTGCACCAATAATTCTTTGAACCTGATGTACTTAAGCAATCGGTAACAAATACTGATCGGACATCGAAACATAGATACAAATGAATCATACCCAGACACACAGGCCAACTGACCTAATTCTAACACTGGGCGTTTCCCTTCAAGCTTTCCTCAGCTCCTAGATCCACTTTCCTTTCAACCTCCCTCTCATCTGCTCTGCCTGGTTTCTCTGCCCATACATGTCCTGGGTCATCTGCCTTATCCTCTTTATTCAGGGCATAAACACCTGGGACAGTGGTTCTCAAAGTAAGATCCATGGACCCACTGCATCAGAATTACTTGGAAATCTGTTAGAAATGCAAAGTCCTGGGCCTAAACTAGACCTACTGAATGAAAAACTTGGGAGCTGGAGCCCAGCAATCTGTACCTTAACAAGTCCTGCAAGTGATTCTGATAAATGCTAAAGTTTGAGAATCATGATTTAAAGAAGTGAAGAACTGAGGAAGAAAACAGAAAATTAGGAGGGTGAATAATTATTTTCACTTCTTTATCCACTGAGGATCTTTTCTTTAAGATGTGAGGAGCTCCTGAGCAGAGTTCCAACTATACATGGAAGGCAGTCTACAAGCTTTACTCCTTGTGCAGTGAGAATGACCCTCCCCATTTTCCTGTTAACTAAGCAGCCTACATAATATGCCTTAATCCTTTACATACGTACATTTACATATGTAATCCTTTACACATGCCTAGTGCTTTCAAAAGAGACAATATTTTCATATATCTCTAAATTGTTCCTCACAATGTTCTTCTATACTAGAGATGTTGTGACATTCACAAATATAACAATTCTGATTTCAACTACTCAAGAGTGATGCCAAAAGGCCATGGCAAGCAGTAATTAGTCATTTTTCCTGAGGCCCAAATATAAAACATGCTACAGAGCTGGTGTATGGAAAGCAGTCAAATAGCCAGTAAGTCAAGTCAAACGTGCAGTATCAAATCACAGCAGCTTTATGTACTTGCAGTCATTTTTGCAGTAAATCAGAATGGATAACTTGCTTTTGTGTGTATGTGTGTGAAAGATGGTCATAAAGAGAAAGCCAACTGCCACTGACAGTCATGAAGGTAACGATGCCTATAAAAGTGATGGTCTTAAACTAGGGGGAAAAAAAAAAGACATTTTGTACAAATTAGAAAGTAGAATGTGAAATCAGTAGTGGTTTAAATTTTTAATATTAACCAGTTCATCCTATACTCTAAACTCAACAGGTAAAAAAGCAAGTGAATTATTTTTCCCATCAAATCTACTCTTCTATTTCCTATCTTGCTGAATCGGCCATCATCACTAATTGTCAATGCTAGAAACTCCAAATGAGTCACACATGATTTCTTCCTCCTATAACCAGTTAATCACCAACTAATCTCCTTAAGATCCTATAAACCTGTCGCTCTTCAGCCTCACTGCAAATGTTCCTAGTTTAGGTCTTCATCACCTCTGACCTGGTTTATTTTAAGAGCTTTACACTTGTCTCAGAAGCTCCTGTCTTGTACCCTTCAATCTTTTTCCCTTTTAAGAATATTCAAATATGATTTTAAACCAAGTTCAAGTAAAGAAATAACCTAACCAAATTTTAAATAAAAGAATAGAGTCAAAGAGAAAACCAAGTTAAATCTCAACTTATAAATTAGTGACTAGCTTGGAATTAATAAAAAAGCAGGCCATGTAATCTGTCATCAAGTTCAGTTAGGTGAGAAGCATAGCTCTTTTAAACATTTCCCACAAAGATATTAAACTCCTTTACGGAAGCCAAATTAAACGAATACTTAAAGAGATCCTATAAGACAGGAATTTGCAAACTTTTTTTTTTTCTGTAAATGGCCAGTTAGTGAATACTGTAGGATTTGTGAGACATACTACAACTATTCAGCTCCGCCCTGGTAGCACCAAAGCAACCACAGACAATATGTAAATAAATGGGCATGGCTGTGTTATAATAAAACCTTGTCTGCAAAATCAAGTGGCTAGATTTGGCCCTGAGTCATAGCTTGTTGACATATCCTCTAAGATAATACAATTTGGGAATACATCAACTTTATACAGAAAGTTGAGGGCTACAAGTTATAGTGTAAAGTTCCTTTCACCTGGTTGGAAGCACTGGGTATGAGTGCTGACTCTTCTATTCACAGATTATTATTTCAACTTCTTTAACCTTTGATACTATTTCCTCATCTGTGAAATGGGGATAATCTCTTTTAATCTACCTCAGTCACTGTGAGAAACAAACAACATAATATAGGTGAAAGTACTTTGTAAATTATAATCATGTTGTAACTGTAAATCAAATAAAAGTTACCATCAATCATAAATTGCTCCCAAAATCTTATATACTGCCCCCCTGTATTACATGCTATTCCTCTGTGAAAATGACGACATTCATCAAACTCTATCTTTTATCTTCCAATGTAGCTGCATCAATGAAGATCATTTCATGCAAATAAGCTCCTGAACTAGGTCATTTATCTTTATTTTTGTTCAAAACAATACTCTTACTTTGCCCATTCCGGGTGATTTGCTAGTGTTTCATTAATCAAATTACTTGTGACTTCAATCATGTGTACACTCTCTTGATGTACCTATATTAGGAACAAGGAAAAAAAAAAGAATCTCAATAATAGACTCAGTGTAACATTTATTTTTCTAGTCTATTATCAGAACAATGTGTTTAGTCTCAAATAATTATGTATCTTAATTTCAATTAATTTAGAAACATTGACTGAACAGCTGCTATATATAATGTCCTATGATATACACTATGGGAAGTAAGTACATAATGGCTCCCTGCCTTCAATAAGCTCAACAATATACCTAAAGGAAAAAGATAAAAGATATGTGAAAGTATGTACACCTAGACATTATAATAAACACAAATGTATAAATACACTTAGTTTACATATGTGTATGTAAGGAAAGCCAACACATGAGCTTATGAAATTATAATGCGAATAAGCAACTGAGTGGTTTTTAAGTGAAAAAAATCAAGTGAAAATCTCAGAATTTGTCTTGCCCAATAACCAACAAAATAAGGAGGGAAAATTTAGCCACAACACCCAAATAAGGAAAAAGGCATAACATAATTTTTTTTTTTTTTTAATTATCGTACTTTAGATGAAGGTTAACAGAACAAACTAGCTTCTCATTAAACAGTTAGTATACGAATTGTTTTGTGACACTGACTACCAACCCCATGATATATCAACACTCTCCCTTCTCGACCTTGGGTTCCCTACTATCAGCTTTCCTGTCCCCTCCTGCCTTCTCGTACTTGCCCTGGGCTGGTGTGCCCCTTTAGTCTCATTTTGTTTTATCGGCCTGTCTAATCTTTGGCTGAAGCGAGAACCTCAGGAGTGACTTCATTACTGAACTAAAAGGGTGTCTGGGGGCCATACTCTCAGGGTTTCTCCAGTCTCTGTCAGGCCAGTAAGTCTGGTCTTATTTTGTGAGTTAGAATTTTGTTCTACATTTTTCTCCAGCTCTGTTTGGGACCCTCTACTGTGATCCCTGTCAGAGCAGTCAGTGGTGGTAGCCGGGCACCACCTAGTTGTACTGGACGCCGTCTGGTGGAGGCTGTGGTAGCTGTGGTCCATTAGTCCTTTGGACTAACCTTTCCCTCGTGTCTTTAGTTTTCTTCATTCTCCCTTGCTCCTGACTGAGGCATAACATAATTTGATACACTTTGGAAAATAGTAATCAACTAAAGAAACAAAACACTCTGAAACACAGCAAAAAGGCATAACATAGCTCATTCCTGAACTGACCCCCACACCCAAAAGCCATATAGGTGAGCTGACAAATTATTGAGTACTCACATATAAACATGCAAATCTGGAGGGGAAAAAAAAACAAAACTAAGAAGATAGCCATGTCTAGTCATATCTTTTTCCTTTTCTGTGGAAGAAAGGAAATTGTCATGGGGAGAAATGGATCAGAGAGGAAAAAGAACAGGTTAACTCTCTCTCGCTTGCTCTCTTTCTCTATGAGGCCGTGAAAGCTCCATAGTAAGTAACGAACTGGGGAAACAATACAAAAATTGAGGGTATTCTTCCATGGAAATGAGTTACAACCTCAACTAAATGGCATAAAAGCCAGGACAAGTGACATACAAAACCCAGAACAGAGTATAGGTATACTTTTCTTTTTTTATTGTTATAGTTTAAATGAAGTTTACATAGGTATTCTAACAAAGACACACATAACCATTACTGAGTGTCACTCCCACCCACTGCAAATTCCATCTGGCCCCAGCAAAGTAGAGAGAACATAACATAAACTATAGCTTGAAAGGGAAAACACACTAATTTCAGATCCAGTGGGGAGAGAATCAAATGCCTGAAAAAGCCAGATCACATAACGCCTTATAGGCTCTTGTAAGGAATTTGACTTTTCATTTTGAGGAAATCATTGAGGGCTTTAAGCTTAGAAGTAACATAATCTGACTTAAATTTTTAAAGGATCACTTTGGATGCTGTCTTGAAAACAGACTATGAGGCAAAGGATGAAGCAGGAAGATCAGTTAGAAGGTTACTGCAATAATTCAAGTGAGCAGTATCTTGAGCAAGGTTGTAATGCTAGTGATGGTAAGACGTGATTGGATTCATGATATATCTTACTTTAATTGATAATTGGGCATTAAACCAACCTTGCATTTCTGAAATAAACTTCACAGGGTTATACAGCATTATCCGTTTTATATACTGCTGGATTTAATGTTAATGATCTGTTAAGGATTTTTATGTCTATGTTCTTGAAGGAAATTGGTCTGCAGTTTCCTTTCCTTGCATGTCTTTGATTTTGGTATCTGGCCAATACTGGCATCATAAAATGAGTTGAAAGTGTTACTTTTCCTCTATTCTCTGAAAGAGGTCTTGTAAGATAGGCATTATTTCTTCATTAAATGTTTGATAAAATTAATCAGTGAAGCCATGTGGAAATGATCTCATCTCTGTGGAAAGACTTTCAAATATTAATTCAATTTCTTTTCTTAATATAGAGCTATTCAAATTTTCTATTTCTTCTTGGGTCAGTTCTATTTACTGAAATGGGAAGACTGTGTGAACATATGAGGGTAAAGGTCTTGGGTTCAGTTTTTGATATGTTACATTTAAGATGTCTATTAGATATCTGGAGACCTAGTAGCACACTGATTAAGAGCTTGGCTGGTAACCAAAAGGTCAGCAGTTTGAATCCACCAGCTGCTCCTTGGAAATCCTGTGGGGCAGTTCTACCCTATCCTATAGGGTTGCTATGAGTTGGAATTGATTTGAAGGCAATGGTTTTTTGTTTTTGTTTTTATTAGACATCCAAGTGGATACTGTCACAAATGTTTTGGAGAATGATTCCTTTATTGGGTGGGAGAATGAACTAGATGGACCAATAAGGTTCCTTCAAAAGCTCTGTTTACATGAGTCCTAGACCACAAAGAAGTGGTTCAGTAATACATGTTATCAAAGTTCAGGGAAGCAAAAGCTCACTGAAGCATGGGATGAAGTAAGAAAAAGGACTTGAAAATGAACATAATTAAAATGGGCACAAAGGAAGACTCTATGCAAAGGGACAAAGGAGGAAAAATGGAATAGAAGAAAAGCAGGAGAGATAGGAGAAAGGGAAGCAAGGAAGATGGAAGACTATACTGGTGAAAAGCTTCTCTAAGGACTAGAACGGAAGATAAGATTGTATAGTGGCTGGTTTAGTCAAAATATGACAAAAACAGAAAAACTTCGAGGTTTGAGGACATATTAAGGCTGAGATTGACTGAGAATAGGACTTCCAAGTGGCGATGTCACAGAGCAAGAAATAATGTAACTATTTAGCAAACTACTGTATATTAGATTAATGATAAGTTACTAATATATTTCTATAGCACGATATACAGAATTTTCATATTCATGATTTTATGCAAGCATCACAATTTCTTAAAAAACATACCAAAACATGAGATAAACTCTACAAATTCAGTGGAGTTCAGAGAAAATAAAGATTAGGATGCACTGTAAGAGTCAATAAGAAGTATTACTGTAGAAGTAAAATTTTAGCTGTGCTTTGAAAAAGGAATGATTTTCTCTGATGAGATAAAAGGGGAGAGAAAATGTAAACAGAAGGATATGGAAAGGGAGAAATAAAGACCCTATGGTAGAAGACCAAACGCACAACACCTGCCCAAAAGCAAAGACGAGAAAGCAGGAAGGCACAGGAAAACTAGATGAATGGACACAGGAAACCCAGGATGGAAAGACGGAGAGTGCTGACACATTGTGGGGATTGCAATCAATGTCACAAAACAATCTGTGTATAAATTTTTGAGTGGGAAACTAATCTGCACCGAAAACTTTCACCTAAAGCACAATAATAATAATAAAAAGATCCTATGGTAGATCAACAGAAAAGGCCAATGACATAGGAGGAGAAGGAGCTAATCAAGAAATGCTGATCTAGTGAACTGGACTAGGAGTCATGAGACCACAACACAGTTCTCCTATTGAGAGAAGTTCTTGTTCTTCGGTATTTCATGTTCTTCATCTGCATTTCCTCCTGAGGATTTTGATGATGATAAAATAAAAATTCATGTAAAAAGTTTGAAAAGAAAATATGCTAGGCAAATTCAAGGCAGAATTAGTATAAATCATAAATACTTCAGCTGCTATACATGTTTATAAGCCAAATAACATTTTCCATGCTGTCTGCTAGATTTTTACAATTCTAACAATTAAGACATTATTAATGGTAAGAGTAATTGTACTCTACCTTTGCAGTCAGGAGCAGAGCTAAAAGAAGGGTTCCTATCACTAACAAAAATATGATGAAAATGCTAATTATTTTGTCTAACATCTTCTCCAACCAGATGATCATCTGCACAGAAATGAAAAAGAGGATTACTTATCTTTCAGGTACAACTTAATTTAAAAAAAAAAATGCATTCACATATCATTAAGACAAAAATGGGATATTAAGCATTGCAAAGCAAACTATGGCATATTGATTAAAACAGTGAAAGCTGTAAGCAACTTCAGAAAATTAACTATTAACTATTGTAATTTGAAGTTCATTATTGTCATATCTAAGAAAACACAGTCAATTTGAACATAACCCTGTATCTATGTTTGAATTCACATATTGTGGCAACTCACATTTCAACTTATACCTAAAGCACAGTAACTATTCTAAACAAAATAATGACAGTCCACTAGCTGACCTCAAGTCTCATGAAATTTTAATGTTAATTAGCAAAGGAAGCATCACACTTAAATACTGATGACTCTAGAAAAAGAATGCTCCTTATAATACAGGTACATCCTAAATTATACAGATAAAATAGGGATTATATTCAAAAATATTTATTTTTCCTTTGATTTCATTAGCGTTTATAAAAACGGTAATACTAGAGTCCAATGTTAAGGGAATGATAAATATCAAATTCAGGATAATAGTTACCCTGGGTGGCAAGGAGTTGGAGGATAGATGTTGGGAGGGGTACAAAATAGGCTTCAATTATTTAGGCAACGTTTTTTCAAGATGGGTGTTCTTTATGCCTTTTTATATTTGAAATATTTCATAATAAAATACTTTAAAAATCTGATATTCCACTCAAAACCTCTATTCTTTTTAAAAAATAAGCTTTATGAGTTAACTACAGTTAACAAAAAAAAAAAACAAAAAACAAAAAACCCATTGCCATCGAGTCAATTCCGACTCATAGCAACCCTAAAGAACAGAGAAGAACTGCTCCCATAGGGTTTCCAAGGAATGCCTGGTGGATTCAAATTGCTGATCTTTTGGTTAGCAGCTGAGCTCTTAACCACTACGCCACCAGGGTTTCCAAACTACAGTTAAGTAACTATAAATGAAGAATAATCATCCTTAATCTCTAATTAAAATTAAGATCTCCCTAAATGTTATTTGATGTTCTGTATTGACTATAATTTCCCTCAACTTTCAAAATAAAAAACAGTCCTACATTTAAAAAAGTTTTTGTTTTCAGAATATACAATAATCCTAGGATTCCTGCCATACATGGCTACCATTTAATGTTTTAAAACTAAAATGAATTAGATTGATGACTGCTGAAGCACACTGCACCCCAACTCAACATGAGCTACAGCATTGCTGAGTAAATTATTCTTAATTTAATATAAATTATACTCTCCAAACAGAGAATAAAACATACAAGAGCAAAGAAAATTTTAAAACTACACTGCTAAAATTAACTCTACATACTTAAGTAGCACATTTAAGAAATTATTTTGCATCCTTTCCCTCTCTTTAGGAATAGTACTTTAAAAAGTCTATATTAAAATTCTTAAATATTGTTTTAAAATGCCTGGATTCTGGCCACTTACTGTCAAGTAACCGAAGGGAATACGTGAGTTTAAAATCATCGTCATAATTAATGTTCCGATTCTATTGACTTCAAATAAACATAGATCATTAATTATTTCAACCAAATGGAAGGAAATATTTTCATGAACCTAATAGACTTCTAGAACATTCATCTCCTACTCAATGCTTATAAGCTTGTCTCCCCCTTATCTATCCTTCATAAAGGAAACTGTCACTAAGAGGTAATGCTAAAGTGAATTCAAAGATAAAAAGTTCATCTTAAATCTTGACAATTATAGCTACAAACAGTAAAGCTAATGTTCAGTGCATGCTACTGAAGCATCCAAGACAAAGCAGAGATTAAAAAAAGTAATAACAAGTTCTAAGATATGGAAGGTCAAATGTCATATTTTGAAGGTAAGTTCTAAAATCACTGAAACTGATTGAAAAGTTGCACCATCACCTAGTTCTTGAGACAGCTTCCTGAGGAAAGGGCTAGTATGTCACTACTCTCTATCTTTAAAACCTAACACAGTACATGACACATGGCAGGCATCCAGTTAATATACACTTGATTAAACATAAATTAAATAATTTCAGAAGCAAAACCAAATATGTATTCACAAATTACAATCTCTGAAAATAGGAAGCCTGTGTTTTTTAGAAAAGTCGTATCTGAAATATATATTTTAAAAATGAATGATGTACTATTTAAAAAGCATAGATATCTGAATCTGTCTGAAAGAAAATATGGAATATTCACAAACACACTATGTACATCAACATTACAAAATCAAATTTTATTATTTTTAAACCAGGGGTGGGGTCATTTTTATTTCCTGTCAGAAGCCATATACCCAAGGGAAGGAAAAAATCCACTAAGAGTCACCTAAATAAAAACATATTCAAGGGATACAGTGAGAGTTAAATGTTTCATTTAAAATTTTAAATAAATAAAAGCATTTCAGATATTCAATACATAAGCTAAAAAAATTTTTTTGTTTACACTGCAGCCAGCCAAGATAAGGTGAAAGAACAGGGTGAGAAGGGAGACAGCCTAAGAGATAATAAGATCGGGAAAGAGAGAAAGAGAAAGCCACATTAAGGAAAAAAGGGAAATGAACAAAGTCAAGAGAAGAAAAGAAAAACATAAGAAAAGGGGGGTGCTGGTGCACAGAAGTAAGGACTAATTGAGAGGATAAAACAAAGAGGATAGAAAACTTAGATGGAGGAAAAAAAACTAACTCTCTGGAAGAGCCAATGCAACAACACTCACAAGGAAACAGAAACTCATAGAGATGGAAAGAGAAACATGGAGAGAGGAAACAAGGGAGAAGAAAGGAACGGAGGAGCCAATTCCTAAAGAAATGCCAGAGGTGCTAGATGAGGCTGATCCTGTCCCACACACTGCTCTGGGCAAAGGAAACCATATCACCTGTCATCACTGCCCTGTCTGTGGCAACTGCAGTCTCTTATAAGTTCCCCAGTCTTTCACGCTGTGAGAAGTTACTTTAATTTTTAAACGGTGAAAGGAATTAATTTTAAGGTGATATTCTGAAAGTCATGAAGTGTGAATGAAGAGCACGCATTTTTCAAATTTAGAGATGTTGGTAAATGTATAGTTATACCAAAAGATTCTCTAAAACTTCAAAACTGACTGACCTATTGTCCAAGGGGCAGTAAGTTTCTGTGAAGTGTGATGAAAACTTTTGGAAATGAGTAGTAGTGCTGGTTGCCTAACATGGTGAACATAATTAATGTTACTGAATTGCACAGGTAAAAAAAGTTGAAATAGAAAATATTTTGTTATATATATTTTTACCACAATTAAAAAAAAAAACTGACTGATTTTTTTATTCTTCAATCTATTAGGAAAGTGTCTTTCCACTACTGAGTTTCTCTTCTATTTCAATATTCTGGGTCTGTAGGTTTTTCTTTGTTTTTTAAGCAAATTCTAGTTGCAGATGAATCTTAGTGCAAACAAAGATATTAAAGAATAAAAATCAGGCCCTGGGAAATAGAGAAATTACATTTCCATTAACTGAACTAGTTACCTAATTCACTCCACTTTAACTTTTCACATACCAAATATTCAATGCTACAATGTTCTTAGATGTAATGTAATAAAATAGTCCTCAAATTATTTATTTACTTTCCTCGAACACAAACTCTCAGAACTTCAAGCAGTTACTCTGACCCTACACTAATGCTTCATTTATGCTACACAGAATCATCAAAGAATAGAAAAAAGTTACTTGATCTCCTAGGAATCTTTTAAAACTAACTCACACTATTCAATTATGAATTAGGATTGTAAAATAGGAAATCTCACTCATTTAGATCACTGAAGGTTAAATCAAACTGAACCTAATGAATTTAGTTCTCCTTTCTCTCATCTCGAGTACAACTTCATTTCAATATATACAAATTGGGGAGATATACAAAACCACCTACTTTGATCAAAGTAAGAAAATGTGATTTATGCTTGCAGCACTATCATTTGCCAAGGATTGACCTCAATTACTAATACTAGTTTTGTAGAGAATGGAGTTGCATACAACCTTGTGTGTGTGTGGGTGTGCGCGCGCACGGGTGTATGTTAGACATTACTTTCAATCTACAATTTAAAACTTTAGGCACCATCAACAGTTTCCCCTTTCCTTAGTTTCAGCAGGAAAAAAAAATGAAATCCTAATCTTTAGTTTCGAAAGTCTCATTCTGATCTATTTTCAAAAAGTATCACACCTTTTTTAAAAAACTGCTATAATATTTCCACTGAAGACTTTTAAGAGTCTTACTGTGTTTAAAAACAATATATATAAATGATGTTATCTCCTTCTATCTGTCCTAGGGATCAGATGAAATTAAGTCAAGAACTTGTTTATGTGGACTCTACATCATAGGTACATTACTGATACATCTAGGTTAGCCTTTATTGAAGTTATCAGAAAGGTACTTGTTATAATTCCATGCCAATCATGCAAAGCATTTACAACCTCATATTTTGAGAAATTTACTAAATTAGATGTTATAGGCCATAACTACAATCTGTTATAAATTGAAAATAAAATGTTGGAATACTAGCTATAAAAGGAACAATATATAAAATTAACAGCCAAGGGAATCACACAAATACTTCACAGATTTATCTTTTGAAAAATCCCTGCAAGTGTCGTGATAGAACAAGTTAACAAGAAAGAGTTTTCTTTCCTTTTCAGTAACCACTGCCTAATGTGCTCTCACAGAGCAAAGAGCCTAGAGTGTCAGACTGAGCCACAGTAGAGAGCTGAAGGGGAATGGAAATAACACACAGTCGACAAAAGAACTAAAAGACAGAACTGCTTACAAACACTTGGGCAAGGAGACATCATCCTTTCCTAAATAGCCTTTGTTGCATTTTTATCAAATTCTAAACAGTATTGTGACAGTATTCAGGCTTCACAACCTTCCATAGCTTATAATTAGAACTTCAAACAAAACAAAACTTAGTTTGACATTTGGACAGAAACATTGCGTGAGAAGGGAGATGGGAGGAAAAGTTACAAAATTCAGTAGTAAACACCAACATCCATGTGTTTATTTACCTTCTTATTTAGCCAGTGCCAGAGCTTGAGTAAGGTGAGAAAGAGAAGAACAGTGGAATATCATTAGAGAATGCAATAATAGTATGAAAAGAAAAGAAAGTCACTGATAGCATGAGAGGAAATTATTCCAAACAAAGGAGAAACTACAAAAGAAAAAAGAAACTGTAATGCATTAACAAAGTTTCAAAATCAAGAGAATGTAGTATTCCTTTAAAATATACACTGATTGAAATGATGGTAACCACAAGCTTTGCTGGCAAGTTAACAATTAAAAATACATAAAATAACCTGAATACTTGTATATTTAAATAGTCACACCAAATTCCGAAAACCAGGGTAACAAATGTTAGGATTCTTTCATATATCATGAACCAAAAGGATTTTTAGTCCCTGTATAAACTAATTCATGTTCATATATTAAATTTTCATTGAACTTTGTGGTTGTAGCTTATAGTATCCGCTATTTCACATTCTTCAGAAGAGAAAAACATTTCCGTGCTCATTCAGAACAGTGAACACTTGGTCAAAAAACAGACATATCTAACATTCTATTAATATTTGGTGAGTTTTCTTCCATCCCAATTTTTATGCACATATTTTTGTACTGTATATAATATCCACCTTTTCTTCACATAAACATTGTCTCATCTGAACCTCACAGTATTTAACACTGTAAAGCTCTTTCTGATGAATACAGAATCTAAAAAGCAGTAAACACAGGATTTAAGGATTAGTGATACAAAAAAGTCTTAAAAAGTTTAATTTCAGAGTGATCATAAATGTTCTTTGCAGAATTTCCCCTAAAGCACATTCTATGCCTGTTTAGACACACACTTCAAATAACCTCTTGTACATGGATCATTTCAGAAACACTGGTCTAACCAATCAAAATTTAATAGAACAATGAAGAATAGATTTCTTTTTCCCCCAAAGCTGTAGCTCAAATATACTAGAGAGAACAAAATTTTGGCATCAATTACAATTAAACAAATATTTAGTTTCTGATTGCCATTTATTCTGATATGTATTGTTCTATATAGTAGAAAATAGTCATCTCATTCATTTTACTTTCTTCCTTAAGAAGGACAGATTCGCATATAAATTAACATAAAAGTGGCAAATTTTTACCAGGCTGCTCCATAACAAGGCACCCTTGTGCCACAGTGGTTAAGTACTCGGCTGCTAACTGAAAGGCTGGCAGTTCAAACCCACTAGCCGTTCCAAGAGAGAAAGACATGGCAGCCTGCCTCCGTAAAGATTTACAGCCTTGGAAATCCTATGGGGCAATTCTACTCTGTCCTATGGGGTTGCTATGAGTCGGAATCGACTCACCGGCAATGGGTCTGGTTTTCGTTTTTGGCTTCCATAACAATATTTTTTGATGCCCCCAGAACTTCAACTGATATGTTACACTGTTGAGATTTCCTAAATAAAGCATTCCAAGTACAAGTACCTGAGAAAGCTGCAAACTGGTTTTCATTTCTGTCACTTTTGATAGCGGTAAGAGAAAGAAACTGACCTAAGTAACAGTTAAATGCTAAATCTGCTCTAGTAAGATAAAGCTTCACACCAGCACCAGGAAGATGTGATAAATAAGGTGAAATCTGTGAAAAGTTGATTCTCATTTAAAAAGTTGAAAAAATGAACAAGAATAAAAACATGCAACTGACAAAAAATATATATAAATAGCCAAAAAATATATAAAAGGATGGTCAATTTCATTTTTATTTTAAAAAATTTCGAATTAAAACAACATTGAATGCTGCTGAATTATACATGTAGAAATTGTTGGAGGGGAAAAACCCCAACACTGAGATATCCATTTTTACCCAAACTAAATGGGACTTTTTAAAAAATTATTATTCAGTATTGACAAGGGCTCAAGGAATAGGCATTCTCCTATGTTCTGCTAGTGGAGTTAAAACTGGTAAGCTTTCAGGAATATAGTCAGGCAATATGTAAGAAAATGTGTATTTCCTTCAACCCAGTAAATTTTTAAGGATGAGTCACTATGAATTGGAATCAACTCAACAGCAACGGGTTATAAAGATTTACTTCCCCCTCACATGAATTCCAGTTACTATTCTCAATCCATATCTACATTGGTTTCACATAATGGTATTTCTCACCTTTAAGTCATGATGGAACCATTAAAGGAAACAGTTGCTAGCCTTTACGATGAAGTCCAACTTGCTCAGCACAGCACACGAAAAGACTTTCTTGATCCAGTCTCTCCTAACTCTCCAGCTTTACCTTCTACCACTCACCGTTTCATATGTTCCAATCATGACCACTTACTTGGTGTTCCCTAAGAATTCACACTGTAGAGAAGTCTCTGTGCCCTCTGCACTGTTCCATCTACCTTCTCTTCCTGCCATGTCTAATAAACTCCTACTCATGCTTTAAAATTTGTTCTAGCATCGCCTCCTCTGTAAAACCTTCCCTCTCCCACCACCCATCACAATTAATCATTTCTTTCTCAGTGCTACCACTGTACTCTGTACATACTTTTCCTACACAAATAAGCTAACACATATATAGAGCTCACTGTGTACCAAGCAGCACTGATTTAGGAATTATATATGTATTAACTCATGTAACAGTCACAACCAGTGTATGAGGTAGGTGCTGTTACACTCATTTATTGATAAGGAAATCAAGGCACAGAAAGGTTAAGAAACTTGCTCAAGGTCACAGAGCAATTAAGCAGAACAGAGAGCTAAAATTAGATTCTGGATTCAGAGTCCATGTTCTTAACCACTAGGCCTCTGAATCTAACCACTGTCTCTGAATTTCACTGAACTGCTGTCTCTTGCCACTAATCAGAAACTGAACTTCTACAGCTACTGAACTTCTAAATCTGATTTCCCTGATTCATCTGATTTTCCTTAGGATCCAGCATAATATCTGACACACAGGAAGTACTCAAAATATATTCACTGGACTGAGCCACTACCTGGTTATATGACTTTAGACAAGTCACTCAGCTTCTCTATATCTCAATTTGGTCCTTATAAAATTAGGATGTTAAACTGAGTATTCCGTAAGAGCCCTTTCTCTCGTTTTTTAGAGGGGAAAAAAAACAAAAAAAAAAAACAAAATAACTTACTCAATGCTTATTTAAACTAAATCCATCTTATCATTATGTAAACCATAAACTTTAAAATTTCACTATAGGAGACAGTGAAAGGAAAAAAAAAGAAAATTACACTACAGAACTAGATATTGAATGTGTTATCAACAATTACAATATAAACCCCATATACCATGAAATGGAGCATTTCAACCAATGAAATATATAAACTCCATTAAAACAGCCCATGCTCTTAAAATACAATACCTTGCTATCAACTTTTAACAAGAATTTTCCAAGTCCGATAACTGGCCAAGGTGCTAGAGCTTCCTGCCGTTCCTTCAGGAAGTGTTCTATGACCTGCCACCACACGTAGCAGCGTTTCTCCAGGAAGTTCACAACTCCGAAGTGAATCACAAGTTTTTTGAGTATCCAGACTATAAAGAAAATAAAAAAATACATCCATAAACGAAATACAGATAAGAAGGTTATAATGTAAAAAAGGCCCCTCAATTTCATGTGAACTTCTAAACAGTAAAGTCAGAATTTAAAAAAAAGATGTAAACGGGGGAGCAGGAGGAGTTCAAGGTATTCCAAATAGATGAAATTGGGCCAAATAACTACAAACAATCCCCACATGCCCTTATGTTTTCTTCTTCCTAAAGTCTTCTCTGACTCTGGAGGAGTTAAGGATTATTCTACAGCTCATATAAGCATAAGATATTCTTATCATAAAGACTTCAGTGAGTATAATCTTGGCCCCTCACACCTTCCCCCTTCTAGACTAAAGAATATTAACCCCTGACATATCCCAATCTCCTTAGCTATTATAGCTACTCTTGCCAAACTTTGCCCTCTTCCTTACAAGGCTGATATGTGTTCCTATTTCTCCATGCTGCCCAATACATCTGAATCTTTTTACAGTTTAGTAGAGAAGCAGTGTGAGTATGGGCAGGGCTGTTTTGAATGGCACCTCGGGCTGTGCACTGCACTACTCCCGGGGGCACCATTCACAGACCACAATATGAATGGCATTCTATGAAGTCGGGCTGTACTATGGCCTTTCAAGCAGGGGTTCAGCTTAAAGGTCAGCTGAGAAAGCGGTGAGGCCAGGGGCAAGTCTTCCTGATCTGTAAGGTTTGTCTCACAGATAAAAACCAAACCAAACTGCCGTCGAGTAGATTCCAACTCACAGTGACCCTACAGGACAGAGGGTAACTGCCCCAAAGGGTTTCCAAGGAGTGGCTGGTGGATTCGAACTATTGATCTGTTGGTTAACAGCTGAATTTTTAACCACTGTGCGACCAAGGCTCCACCTTGCAGATGTTATTGTTGTTAGGTGCCATGGAGTCAGTTCTGACTTATAGTGACACTACATACAACAGAACAAAACACTGCCCAGTCCTGCGCCATTCTCACAATCATTGCTGTGTTTGAACCCACTGTTGCAGCCACTGTGTCAATTCATCTCCTTGAGGGTCTTCCTTTTTTTGGCTGACCCTCTACTTTACTAAGCATGATGTCCTTCTCCAGGGATTAGTCCCTCCTGATAACATGTCCAAAGTATGTGAGACAAAGTCTCGTCATCCTTGCTTCTAAGGAGTATTCTGGTTGTATTTTTTCCAAGACAGATTTGTTTGTTCTTTTGGCAGTCCATGGTATATTCAATATTCTTCGCCAACACCACAATTCAAAGGCATCAATTCTCCTACGGTCTTCCTTATTCATAATTCAGCTTTCACACGCATATGAGGCAACTGAAAATACCATGGCTTGGGTCAGGCGCACCTTAGTCCTTAAAGTGACATCTTTGCTTTTTAACACTTTAAAGAGGTCTTTTGCAGCAATTTGTCCAATGCAACTCATCTTTAGATTTCTTGACTGCTGCTTCCATGGGTGTTGACTGTTGATCCAAGTAAAATGAAATTCTTGACAACTTCAATCTTTTCTCTGTCTTTCATGATGTTGCTTACTGGTCCAGTTGTGAGAATTTTTGTTTTATGTTGAAGTGTGATCCATACTGAAGGCTGTGGTCTTTGATCTTCATCAGTAAGTGCTTCAAGTCCTCTTCACTTTCAGCAAGCAAGGTTGTGTCATCTGCATATCGCAGGTTGTTAATGAGTCTTCCTCCAATCCTGATGCCACATTCTTCTTCACATGGTCTGGTTTCTTGGATTATTTGCTAAGCATACAGATTGAGTAAGTATGGTGAAAGAATACAACCCTGATGCATACCTTTCTTGACTTTAAACCACGCAGTATACCCTTGTTCTGTTAAAAGACTGCCTCTTGGTCTAAGTACAGGTTCCTCGGGAGCACAATTAATCCATGTTATCCATAATTTGTTACGGTTCACACAGTTGAATGCCTTTGCATAGTGAATAAAACACGGGTAAACATCTTTCTGGTATTCTCTGCTTTCAGCCATGATCCATCAGACATTAGTAATGCTATCCCTTGTTCCATATCATCTTCTAAATCCAGCTTAAATTTTTGGAAGTTCCCTGTAGATGCAATCAAACATGCAATCAAGATGCACTGATAATTACTGGCGATTGGAATGTGAAAGTTAGAAATAAAGAAGAAGGACTGGTAGTTGGAAAATACGGCCTTGGTCATAGAAAAGATGCCAGAGATTGCATGATAGTCTTTTGCAAGACCAACGACTTCTTCATTGCAAGTACCTTTTTTCACTAACATAAACGGCGATTATACACATGGATCTTGCCACATGGAATAACACAGGAATCAAAATGACTACATCTGTTGAAAGAGATGATGGAAAAGCTCAGTATCATCGGTAACAAGACCAGGGCCGACTGCAGAACAGACCATCAACTGTTCATATGAAAGTTCAAGTTGAAGTTGAAGAAAATTTGAACAAGTTCACAAGAGCCAAAGTACAACCTTGAGTATATCCCATCTGAATTGAGACCATCTCAAGAACAGATTTGACACACTGAACACTAATGACCGAAGACCAGACAAGTTGTGGAATGACATCAAGGATATCATACATGAAGAAAGCAAGAGGTCATTAAAAAGACAGGAAAGAAAGAAAAGATTAAAATGGATGTCCGAAGAGACTTTGAAAGTTGCTCTTGAATGTAGAGTAGGTAGAGCAAATGGAAGAAATGATGAAGTAAAAGAGCTGAACAGAAGATTTTAAAGGGCAGCTCGAGAAGACAAAGTAAAGTATTACAATGAAATATGCAAAGACCTAGAGATAGAAAACCAAAAGGGAAGAACATGCTGGGCACTTCTCAAGCTGAAAAGAACTGAAGAAAAAATTCAGCCTCCAGTTGCAATACTGAAGGATTCTATGAGGAAAATATTAAACGACATAGGAAGCATCAAAAGATGGAAGGAATGCAGAGTCACTGTACCAAAAAAGAATTGGTCAATGTTCAATCATTTCAGGAGGCTGCATATGATCAAGGACCGAAGGTACTGAAGGAAGAAGTCCAGGCTGCACTGAAGGGACTGGCAAAAAACAAGTCTCCAGGAACTGACGGAATATCAATTGAGATGTCTCAACAAACAGGTGCTCACTCGTCTATGCCAAGAAATCTGGAAGACAGCTACCTGGCCAACTGACAGGAAGAGACCCATATCTGTGCCCATTCCAAACTAAGATGATCCAACAGAATGAGGAAATTATCGAACAATATCATTAATACCACATCTTGCAGATAGGACTCTGATAATTAGACCCCAATCATTATAATTTCTCTAACTCCAGGGATTCCTATGCTCTTAGTCCCTGCATTATAACCTAACAGTTTACAGCTTACCATTTGAACCAAGAACCAATTTAACTCCTTTGTTGGCATTTTAAAATCCCTAAAAAGGACCCTATTATTCTGGCCCTGTGAAAACTCCTAGTCTGTAGTACAACCCAGGGTAATTACAGGCTATAAAACACTTTTGGGGAGCAACCCTCTTCACAGCCTGTTCTTCCAAGGCCATGTCAAATTCCTATGATGACCAGAGGTTAAAGATATGACTCAGACAAATGTAACTCCGGCAAATGAAAGGGGGCTTCCAACAGCCACTGACACAGGATTTGCCAGCATAAATCATCTGGCAGAACCAAAAACGTATGGAACAATCTAGATGATCAATTTAAACTATGTTTCACTAAGTATTTCTATAAATTCCTTAACAGGAAGCGTAGCCATGGTGTTTACACTGTGACTTGCTCAACTACAACTATATCTTGCTCCAACTACCTAAGAAGTACTGTTTGAGGGCACAAGAAGCAGACACAAACTTCAACCATTTATACAGGTATAACTTTATTGCGCCTCATTTTATTGTGCTTTGTAGATACTGTTTTTTCTTTTTTTTTACAAATTAGTTTGTGGCAACCCTGCATTGAGCAAGTCTATTGGTGCCCTTTTTCCAACAGCATGTGCTCACTTCGTGTCTCTGTGTCACGTTTTGGTAATTCTCACAATATTTCAAACTTTTTCATTATATCTGTTATGGTGATCTGTGATCAGCAATCTTTGACGTTACTACTGTAATTGTTTCACTGCACCACAAACCATGCCTATATAAGACAGCTAACTTAATCTATAAATGTTATGTGTGTTCTGACTGTTCTACCAACTGACTGTTCCCCCATCTCTCTCCCTCTCCTCAGGCCTCCCTATTCCCCAAGACATGACAATATCGAAATTAGGCCAATTAGTAACCCTACAATGGCCTCTAAGTGTTCAAGTGAAAGGAAGAGCCGCACATTTCTTACTTTAAATCAAAAGCTAGAAATGACTAAGCTTAGTGAGGAAGGCATGTTGAAAGCTGAGACAGGATGAAAGCTAGGCCTCTTGCGTCAGTTAGTCAAGTTGTGAATGCACAGGAAAAGTTCTTGAAGCAAATTAAAAGTGCTACTCCAGTGAACACATGAATGATAAGAAAGTAAGATAGCCTTATTACTGAAATGGAGAAAGTTTTAGTGGACTGCATAGAAGATCAAATCAGCCACAACATTCCCTTAAGCTAAAGCCTAATCCAGAGCAAGGCCTTAATTCTCTTTAATTCTACAAAAGCTGAAAGAGGTGAGGAAGCTGCAGAGGAAAGGTCTGAAGCTAGCAGAGATTGGTTCATGAGGTTTAGCGAAAGAAGCTGTCTTCATGACATGAAAGTGCAAGCTGAAGCAGCAAGTGCTGATGCAGAAGCTGCAGCAAGTTATCCAGAAGATTTTGCTAAGATAATTGATGAAGGTGAGTACACTAAACAACAGATTTTCAATGTAGATGAAACAGCCTTATATTGGAAGAAGATGCCATCTGGGACTTTCATAGCTAGAGAGGAGAAGTCAATGCCCAGCTTCAAAGTTTCAAAGGACAGGATGATGCTTGTTAAGGGCTAATGCAGCTGGTGACATGAAGTCAATGCTCATTTACCATTCTGAAAACCCTAGGGCCCATAAGAATTATGCTAAATCTACTCTGCCTGTGCTCTATAAATGGAACAACAAAGCCTGGATGATGGTACATATGTTTACAATATGGTTTACTGAATATTTTAAGCCTACTGTTGAGACCTACTGCTCAGAAAAAAAGATATCTTTCAAAATATTACTGCTCATTGACAGTGCACCTGGTCACCCAAGAGCTCTGATGAGATATACAAGGAGATTAACGTTGTTTTCATGCCTGCTAACACAACACCCATTCTGTAGCTCAAGGATCAAGGAGTAATTTCAACTCTCAAGTCTTATTATTTAAGAAATGCATTACATAAAGCTATAGTTGTCTTAGATAAGTGATTCCTCGAGGGGATCTGGGCAACGTAAATTGAAAACCTTCTGGAAAGGATTCACCATTCTAGATGCCATTAAGAACATTTGTGATTCATGGGAAGAGGTCAAAATATCAACATTAACAGGAGTTTGGAAAAAGTTGATTCCAACCCTCATGGATGACTTTGAGGGATCCAAGACTTCAGTTGAGAAAGTAACTGCAGATGTGGTGGAAACAGCAAGAGAACTAGAATTAGCAGTGGATCCTGAAGATGTGACTAAATTGCGGCTATCTCATGATAAAATGTTAATGGATGAAGAGTTGCTTCTTACGGATGAGCAAAGAAAGTGGTTTCTTGAGATGGAATCTACTCCTGGTGAAGATGCTGTGAATATCGTTGAAACGACAACAAAGATTTAGAATATTACATAAACTTAGTTAATAAAGCAGTAGCAGGGTTTGAGAGGATGACTCCAATTTTGAAAGAAGTTCTACTGTGGGTAAAATGCTATCAAACAGCACTGCGTGCCACAGAGAAATCTTTGGTGAAAGGAAGTCAATCGATGTGGCAAACTTTATTGCTGTCTTATTTTAAGAAACTGCCACATCTACCCCAACCTTCAGAAGCACCACCCTGATCAGTCAGCAGCCATTAACATCAAGGCAAGACCCTCCACCAGCAAAAAGACTATGATCTGCTAAAGGCTTAGATGATGGTTAGCATTTTTTAGCAATAAGGTATTTTTAAATTAAAGTACATACATTGTTTTTTCAGACATAATGCTATTGCACACTTAAATGACTACAGTATAGTGTAAACATAATTTTTATATGCACTAGAAAACCAAAACAATTTGTGTGACTCGCTTTATTGCGATATTCACTATATTGTGGTGGTCTTGAACCGAACCCGCAATATCTCGAAGGTATGCCTATACTGTATGTTTTACACAGTTGTTCTGATCCTAGTTAATGTTTAAAATAATGGTAACTATCTAATTAACTGTTCAATTTGATGAGAAACCTGCGAAGTTTGACAATTAATGACCTAGAAAATAAACAGGCCAATCAGTTTGGACTTCTAGACCACGGTAGAGATAAGATTTCAAAACACTATTGTTTTAATCAGTACTGAAGAACCTTGACAGAGGAAATAAATACTAATCAAATTTAGGAGGTTCCTGGATGGCAGAACCCAGAGTACCCACTGAGAGCTTTATAAAGCTGATATAGTCTATGATAGCACAAAAGGGAAAGCCCAAGCAATGAGGCAAGAATCAAATAAAAGACTCTTCTACAATGCACCTGAATCAAAGATAACTCTTTCTTATTCTTACCAGCCTTAGAAGATAGTTTCATAGAGAATCAACACTATAAAGGTGGGCCTTAAGTTACCAGAATATTCAGGTATAAAGACTTGTAACTGCAATATGATGATGATCTGTGGAAAGCCCTGATTCCATTTTTACATAATACGTATTTTATATACATACACAAATACGTATATATGTATACATATATAAAATTCAATTGCCTGCCAAAGAAAAGAAAAATCAAGAGTTTGCATATATATATTTCACAAAAATCTACATTCCTTTGAATTAAAAATGCAGTGTAATAGGTATATACCCCAAAAAACTGGAAACAGGGACTCAAATAGATAATGGCACACCAATGTTCACTGCAACATTATTCTCAATAGCCAAAACATAGTAACAACTCAAATGTCCATCAACAAATGAATGAATCGATAAACAAAATGTGGTATATCCATAAAACAGAATATCATTCAACCATAAAGAGACATGAACCTCTGAGACATGCTACAACATGGATTAACCTTGAAATCATTATGCTGAGTGAATAAACTAGAAACAAAAGGACAAATATTATATGAACCCATTTATGAAATATCTAGAGTAGGCAAATGCATAGAGACAGAAAGTAGATCAGAGGCTACAACGGCAGAGGAGAGAGAAGAATGGGGAGTTGTTGCTTAATGAGAACAGAATTTCTGTTCTGGGTAATAAAAAAGTTTCAGAAATAAATAGTGGTGATGGTTGTACAACATTTTGAATATAATTAATGCCAATGAACTGTACACTTAAAAATGGCTAAAGTAGTAAATTTTATGTTATATATATTTTACCACAAATAAAAAAGAAAGAGAGAGAAAAATGCAACGTAAAATGCACTTCACTAAGAGCAGCTGTCAAAATTCAATCATAAACCCCAAAACTCTGATTGTTGTTAATATTCTCTTCCACAGAATCATGTAAGGCTGAAAATAGTTAACTCTCTATGGGGAGCTATCAATCTCATGTAACAATTTCAAACACATGTGTGACCTTAAAAGTGAAATATTAAAGAATTATCAAAGTGATACATTTCCAAAATAAAATTTATTATTTAAATGTAAACAAAAGATTATTTTATTTAGAATAGTAAAAATACTGAACATTAAAATTAAATAGTAAAAACATAAAAATACTCCTCAAACATCAGATCAGATCATAATTAATCAGATAATGACCTGCAACAGGCACCGGCAGTAACTGCACAATCCATAGGTTCAACCAGATCTGGACAACAATGATGGCCCAAACGAGAGACACAAAGTAGATATCACTAGTTTTCTTCTTTCTAAGAAAAGTTCCAATTTCAGGTCTTTGTCTGCCCAGAGTGGGTGAAGGAGTGGAAGCTGAAGAAGATGAGGACAATCTTGGAGGAGGTTCCCTGTCCGTGGTTTCTAAAGAGGAAAGGAAAAAAATCACACACCGTATTAATCCACATCAGTGAACAGTAATACAGAGCAATTGACTAAGGTATCCTATTTTTAGCCTTCAAAATGAACTTTGTTAATACATGATTATACCAGTTGCTCTCTGGAAACTCTATGGGACAGTTCTACCCTGTCCTATAGGGTCACTATGAGTCAGAATCGACTCCAACGCAATGGGTTTGGTTTTTTTGGTATAGTATGATTACAATGGATTTAAAAAAAAAAAAAAAGATGCATATGTATGTTTGCATATGTACACTATCGACTGTGCTTAAATCTGAGGAAAATAGTTTTTTTTGGGGGGGTTAGGGTTGGGAGACAGGGAATTTTCTACTCCTTACCTTATATACTTTATACTGTTCAAGTTTTTTATGACCATGTATGTGTATCATTAAAAAAAGAGAAAAATGCATAACAAAATAGCTGAGAATTATAATTAACCTATAAAAACTATTCAGATCATATAAAGCAACAACATTAACACATACCAGAATTCATGTGTTTAAAAACTCTTCTTGTTTTAAAAGAACTTTATATTACATGTATTTATATATATTTCTGACACAATATGACTTTTCTGTGTCACTTCACATAAAATGGAACCACCTGCTCTTACATGAAGAACCCAGGCTTTCAGATATTTGTTTTTCTTTAAATGAGATATAAAACAATGACAGACTGCTGGGGGTGAGGAATTTCCAAACAAAGGAAATCTTAATAAAAGAATTACTTCACATAAGGCACTGTTTTCTAATAATACAAATACGATGTTACATTTTACTACAGCGTTATATTATTTCTATCCCCTAGTTATACCAAAAGATATACATGAGAAACCATACAACTCTTAAAGCAATACTACTCAGTATACACTATGATAATGGCAATGAATAAGATCCTAAAATTTGCAATTTGCCTTTCATAAAACAAAAAAGTTTAACTATAAAAGTATATTTCGAAAAGTCTAGGAAAAAAGAGAAAAGAATTAAGAACAACCATAATCTCACCCCCTATTTACCCATAGTCTTTTACAAAACATAGTTTTATATAGTTGTATCATGTTCTATTTACCTTTTTTCACTTTCTCCCCTCAGGTGAATGTTAGTTCCATGAGCACTAAGACCTTGTCTGTTTTGTTCTCCCTCCACTGTATTCCTAGCATAGAGAACAGTACCTGACATACAGCAGGTTCTCACTAAATATTTGTTGAATAAAGGATTTCTCTGTTATTTGATAACTTTCATAAACAACTGTGTAGTAGTAGTCCTCTGACTTCTATATCATAATTTACTTAATGTTTCTTTTAACAATAAATGTTTACTGTTGGGAGTAAATTTTTACTACTGATGTAACTAGCACCATGGTTAGCCAGCCCACCTCACCAGGACTAAAACTCTGCCCTAAGGTTTGGGGCTAAAGCCCAAGCTAAACAGGACATGCTTCTGCGTGACTCTGCTCTCTATCTCATTTGGGAATTTCAAGCTGGTGGGTGTGGCAGATACTTGGAAGAATAAGCCCATAACCAAAACATTCCCTCTCCACTTAGGAAACATAATTCAGTGTGCAAAAAAACGAAGTATTCCCACCACCCCAAATGCCTATCTCTTAGTCAATCTCTTCCTTCAAGACTTTTCTAAAGTCAGTTCTTCAAAAATAACTCACCATATTCCCTAACTCTAAATACCTCTGGCACTATTAGACTTCTCATCACAAGCAGGATGACCTACTACATTCCTGAACTCTGTGCAAGTATAATGTGACTCTAATGCTGGTATAAATCTACCAGCTGGTATCTTGCAGGAGGCTGCAACTCCTCTGCAGCTAGGCCACACAGAATACTGAAGCCAGAACAAGCATAAGGTCTGTTTTAGGGGAAACAGTCAATACGTTAATAGCATAAAGCATGCAAATGAAAACTTTTAGAAGAAACGTCAGAGAAATGGATGACTAGAAGATGAAAAAGAAAAGCCAAAAAAAGAATGGGGGCAGTGGGAACAAAAGCAACATGAGACCAAAATAAAACAATGGAGAACTGAACAGTAGTTGTAGATGAAAAATAAGAAACCAAGATGAGAAAATGACAAAGTGGGGTAAAATGTGGAAAAACATATGTGGGACACCAACAAAAGGAAAATAACATGAAAGGAAAATGAGAAATAAGAAAAGCATTAAAAAAAGAAAAGAATGAAACAGAGGTAGCAAGAATCAAGATAAGAAACCCAAGGTAAAATAATTGAAGGTACGAAAAAAGTGGCACACGAGAACAAAGATGAGCAGGAATAAGGTATAAAAACAAAAATCAGAGAGAAAAAATGAAGGACCAGCAAGAGTAAATTAACATTTTACGATGCTAGTGTCTTTCTTAATTTTATATTCTATTTATATTTCATTTTCCAGAATGACTTTGGAGACATTCCTTCATAACGTCAGTCACCTGTAGGCTGAGTCGAGGGCTGGTCTTCACTGCTTGATTCATAGCCTGTGAGAGAGATGGCCAAGGTAGCGAGGGTGGAAGCTGCCATGGAGATAACTTGCCCTGGTAGCTCTGCCCCTATAAAATAAATGTCCACTTTTTAAACTTTTTAAAACAAATGAAAAATGTAGGAAATGACTGTTGCAATCAAAACATAACATTAAGAGTTATTATTGATCCACCAGATCAGTGGTTTTTCACCAAGGTAGGGTATTTAAGAATCAACAGGAAAGCTTATTAAAAATGCAGGTTTCTGGGCGCTACCCACAGAGAAACTGATTTATAAGTTTGACTTTGCTTTGTGACTATCCCTCTAATTTGAGGACTTCATGCTGATGGGTGTGGCAGATATTGGATACATAAACGTGTAGTTCCACATTTATGTTTTTTAACTTCATTAAGTTGCTTCAATGCATACCTCTGTTGGAAACACTGCCACACCAAGTCTATGAGCTCCCTGAATGCAGACTGTCTACTCTCTTTTGTATTAATAGCTCTTAGTACAGTATAGATACTCTACACTTGATGTTCTTAATAATAATATTTGGAGAATGAATACGCAAATGTATGGGTAGTATATAAAACCATAAACTACATAATTCAGCACAGGCAAAATTACCACTTGAAAATCCAAAAAAATATCATTACCTTGTTTCATGTAATGTTTCCTTGTTAAGTTCCTAATAGGTAGTACCAAACTTAGTCATCTGCACTAAACTCAAATAAAACACTTACTGGCAAATGAGGTCTATCTGTAATGGTCAGGCCTTAACCTGCTATGGCACATGATGCAGACTAGCTCACACAACACCAGGTTCTAGCACGCCTTCCTGCACACTAGAGGTTAGAAAGCAGAAGACCATATTTCTGGGACTACCTTGCAGCTAAAGTCCTACATGTGATGCAGTTTCTACCAAGCAGGCACATTTGTACAAGACTTGGAGTATGGAAGTGGCATGGTGTAATTTGGAAGCCATATAGTTCTCATATCAAGCACAGTCACAGAGATGAATGGTTTTTTGGCCGCAACTATAGCAGAGGTTCCAGGGGCTCTGGTGTCTCATTTCTAACTTCATGAGAGGTGGCAGCAGCGGTGGGATTTCTGCTGAAACAGTCTTTTGGTGTGGCTGGGTATTACTCCTGGCTGCACTGCCTCTGCCTATGTAGGATCCAAGCTTGGCTTTCTATCATTCCCCAAAATTCTACATGCAGAAATTCTATATGCTAACCAGTATATATTTCTACTTAAACTAGCTAGCATGGATGTTACTGTCTACAACTAAGAACACTGATCTTTCCAATCACCAAATCATATACCTATACTCATAAACTGGGACCACACTTTTAGTACGCCAATAATCAATGTGACAGCAGAGAACTCTGCCAAGCCAATGATCTAGAGTCCTGACAGTTCAGAAGACCACTGAATTTCAGCTCCATAGGAAATTAGTGGACCTATTAAATCCAAGGCTGGCCATCTACCAGAGACAAGCAGGCCAGAGCCTAAGATGGCTCTTTGGGAAAACTACAAGACACTACTGTGAGAAACCAAAACAGACCTATATAAGTGGAAAAACATACCTTGTTCATGGATAGGAAGACTCTACATTGTGAAAATGTTTATTCTACCCGAACCAATCTACAGGTACAATGCAATTCTGATCCAAATTCCAATGGCAGTTTTTAATGAGATGGAAAAACAAATCACTAACTTCATATGGAAACGAAAGAGGCCCTGGAAAAGTAAAGCATTACTGAAGAAGAAGAACAAAGTTGGAGGCCTCACGCTACCTGATTTTAGAACCTGTTATACTGCCACGATAGTCAAAACAGCCTGGTACTGGTACAACAACAGATATATAGACTAGCTGAACAGAACTGAGAATCCAGAGAATCCAGACGTAAATTCATCCACCTATAAGCAGCTGATATTTGACAAAGGCCCAAAGTCTGTTAACTGGGGAAGAGACAGTCTCTTTAACAAATGGTGCTGGCAGAACTGGATATTCATCTGCAAAAAACTGAATCAAGACCCATACCTCACACCATATACAAATACTATCTCTAAATGGATCAAAAACTAAATATAAAATCTAAAACGATAACGATCATGGAAGAAAAAATAGAGACAATGCTAGGAGCCCTAATACATGGCATAAACAGAATATAAAACATTACCAACAATGCACAAACACCGGAAGAGAAACTAGATAACCAGGAGGTCCTAAAAATCAAACACTTATGCTCATCAAAAGACTTCACTAAAAGAGTCAAAATACAACCTACAGACTGGGAAAAAAATTTTGGCTACAACAAATCCGATCAGCGTCTAATCTCTAAAATCTACAAGATACTGCAAAACCTCAACAACAAAAAGACAACACAATTAAAAAAATGGGCAAAGGATATAAACAGGCACTTCACCAAAGAAGA